AGAGAGAGAGAGAGAGAGAGAGAGAGAGAGAGAGAGAGAGAGAGAGAACACAAATCTATTTGGAAAAGAAAAATAAAATTGTAGCTCACTTTTCCTGGTTTTTCCACAATTCTCAAGGGGAAAAAAGTGAACCCAACCCATGGATAATCAGGAATGCAGCTGATTGATGTATCACCTGTCCCACAGCCCCTGACAGCCCTAACTCCCTGTCTGCCATGTTTTACACACACAGCCTCATGCCCTCCAAGGTAGTTAGTTCTAACAGAACAGAACAAAGAACTGAGAAATGAGACATATAAATACATGTCCACATCAGGGCATTTTCCTTCACTGTGGGTGTGACGGTCTGGTTAACTTCAGAAAGGGTTTGCTTTGGAACTAGGCGATGTAACCGTTAGTCTTTCCAAACATGCTCACTGGCTCGAGGTTTTCATAGATTGTCATTGCTGTTGTGTTCTGATAGATGAGATCAACTTTTGAGTCTTTCTGGGCTCTGATAATATCCAAAACACACTGATTGAGGAACACATACTGGTCCTGGGAGGAAAGACAAGGAGAGAGAACCGATAAGTATTGCTATCTCCCAAACCATGGCAAAATAAACTTCAGCACAGCAAGTTCAGAATCTAGAGGTAGCTGTTTAAAGACAAGAAACATAACCAGGTACTGTAAGAGAAAACCTCATAAGGAAGCATTATATGTAAAACATCATCCGATTTCCAAATAAATATTCCACATATGTATGTGTGCACATATTCACAGCATACAGAGTCCTGCAGCACCTGCTGTGTCAGGTGTGACCTGCTGCTACTATTACCAATTACCTGACAAGAAGCAATTTAAGGGAAGAAGGGTTTCTTCTGGCTCCCAGCCTAAGAAGGGACACAACCCATCATGATAGGGGGAGGATGGCAGCAGGAGCACCGTAAGCTGGTCACTTACACTGCATTCACAACCAGGAAGCAGAAGGCAGACAGGAAATGGTGCCCAGATACAAAACATTAAGGCCCACCTCTAGTGACCCTTCCATCAGCAAGGCTCTACTTCCTGAAGGTTCCACAGCCTTTCAAAGCGGCACCACCAATTGGGGCTCAAACCCAATTGGTTTGTGGGGATTCAAACCAAAGCACAATCTAAAGGTGAATATAGTCTTCCTGTAGGAAGTGGGTTAGAGAAATAAAAGAGAGGGGAAATGTATTCTGTGTAGTCCTACAATGCTAATTTTTCATATGTTATTTTTGAAATATGAGAAAGAGATCGGGTGCTGGAGGGGTGGATTGTGGTTAAAACATTTGCCATGCAGCAGCAGGATTAAATGGCAGATCCAAAAAACCCATGGAAATGTTGAGTGGGTGTAGCCTCAGAAAAAGAATGTGACCCCAGAGCAAGACAGCTAACTAAATCAGCCATATTTTCATGCTCTGGGTTGATTGTGAGACCCTCGATCACTGAATAAGGTGGAAAAGTAATCTAAGACAATTATACACACATGCATGCATGCACACACAAGTACACAAAAATGGAAAAAGAGAGATGAGAGAAGACTCTGCAGACAGATAGTAAGATTTCTATTCTAATTCTTTAAAAACTATAGCAGAAAAATGAAAATCTAACACAGAAGCAAAATTTCATTCTTTCTCTCACAATCATGCAACTCATCCAAAAGCACACAATGTATCCAGACCTCTAGAACACTCCCTACTAGACTCAAACACAGCACATATTCATAAGTTTCTAAATTGGTACAGGGTAACAGCCTGAAACAAAATGACTACTCTGCTCTCATCCTGGTCCAGGAATATCCACCTCTGAGGAAGCTCCTCCCCACCACACTGTGATGAGAACGTGCCTCAGATATGAGCTTACCAAGGACACCAAGAAGAGTAAATCCAGCAGCTTTACACACATCCCAGAGAACATGCACCCTCACACTGCTCGGCCACCTTGCTAGAGCTCTGAGAATCTTTAACATTCAAGGCTGTTCAAGGGTTGCTGCACTTGTGCTTCAGGGGCAATGTGCTATTTCCTACCATTAAGTGTGGTAGCTTAAAGATGGCCAGATCTTATTAGAAACAAAGACTAAAAACTATCAGTCTTACAAATCTAAAGTCTGGAAACCAAGCCAAAAGACTTATTTGAGGACTGGAGAGATGGCTCAGCAGTTAAGATCACCACAGAAGTCTTGAAGAAGACAAGGGTTTGATTCCCACCACCCATATGGCAGCTCCCAACTACCTATAGCTCCATTTTCAGGGAACTCAAAGTTCTCTCCTGGCCTCTAACAGCATATGATACACAGAAATACATACAAGCAAATCACCCACATACACATAATAAAAATAAGCAATCTCTTTATCTTTAAGAAGACTGTTTCAAAAGTCAGAAGCAGTAAAGACTCTCTATCTGCATGTGTGGTCCCACTGGTGCTACTGTGTCACGTGTGCTCCCACTGGTGCTACTGTGTCACGTGTGCTCCCACTAGTGCTACTGTCATGTGTGCTCCCACTGGTGCTACTGTGTCACGTGTGCTCCCACTGGTGCTACTGTGTCACGTGTACTCCCACTGGTGCTACTGTGTCACGTGTGCTCCCACTGGTGCTACTGTCACGTGTGCTCCCACTGGTGCTAC